TCTAGTGAGTAGTACCCAATCTGTCTAGGTGGAGCTGATGAAATGAAATGCAGATGGGTCTCTTGTGATACAATAGTGAATAATTGTTATCAGGACTGATTGTGAGGGTTGGAAATGTAAAGGTAGACATTTTATAGCAAGGAGCGTAGTGATTAACTTTGCATTCTAGGAGCCGAGGTCCCTAGGACCATCAAGGGAGAAGAGCGGAGAGCGGGACCCTACCCAGAGAAGCAGTGATGCCTGAGATAGAGGCAGAGATGATGACATGGAGAGATGAAGCAGCTGGGGACTTTATATCCAGAGAGGGAGAGGGACTGTGTGCTGAAGACCAGGGGGAGTGATGTGGGGGGCAGGCTTGCAAGGTATACTCTTTGGTTGGTTGATGATGCATGGAGGGGACTGTAACCATGGCAATGAAACAATATACAAAAGAATGAATGTAAAACTAATGTTCCCCCATGTAAACTATCACATAACTCAAAATAAAACATTTAAAAAAAAATGTTCTCCATTTTCCTGTTGATCATCATAATAACATGCAAGTCTCCACTGACAGGCAGCTGGTAGTTGCACATGAGGTGCATGCAACCTGGATCTTGTACACAGAAGGCAAGAATTCTACCACTGAGCTTTCAACTTCTCATGTGCTGACTGCTTAACACTGCTATCTTCAAGTCATAGTCACCCAGTATGTCAGAGTAGAATTACCGCCTTTAGGATTTCCAAGGCTATAATCTTGGTTGTCAGTTCAAACCCAACAGCTGCTCACTATGAGTCAGAACCAACTTGATGGCTCACAACAATAACAAAAGTCTTTAGAGAAACAGACTGTCACATCCTTCTCCAACTGAGTGGCTGGTGGCTGGATAAACAGTTTCTGTCTCTATGCAGCTTGCAATTATATGAGTGGCCAAGCTGTGTAAAAAGTTGAACATCAAAACAAGAACAAGTGATGTGGTTAAGCAAACAGTTACAAACAGTGTTACAGGTGTTCAACAGGGGAGAAATTGAAGGCGTTGAGGAGAGACTTGATCTGGGCCTTGTTAGAATTTGAAGACAAAGGTGAAGACTTAAGACTTAAAGACAAGCATACCCCCTCATATCCCCAACCCACCATCCATCCCCAGAAGCAAATAAACATAAGGAAGGGAGAAGGAAATTGGCCCTTGTTAGGACACTTACTATATGCAGGCCCTGGCCTAAGTACTAAATCAGCTGCCATTAAGCTGCCACTGACTCATGGTAAACCCATGTGTGCTCCATAAAATTGTCAATGTCTGATTTTTCAGAATTAGATCAGCAGGTCTGTCTTCAGGGGTACCTTTGGATTAATTCAAACCCCCAACCTTTTGGTTAGCAGCCGATCACATTAATGGTTTATATTACCTAGGGACTCCTTCCTAAGTATTGTTGCTGTTGTTAAATGCTTTTGTGTCAGTACTGAATCATAGCAACCCTGTATAGGGTTTCCTAGGAGCGACTGGTGGATTTGAACTGTCAACCTTTTGGTTAGCAGTCCAGTGCTGATCCTACAGCACCGCACCACAACTCATAAGTATTGTTGTTGTTGTTAAGTGCCATCAAGTCGGTTCTGACCCATAGCGACCCTGTATAGGATTTCTGAGGAGTAGCTGGTGAGCTTGAACTGCTGACCTTGCAGTTCAAACGGCTTTGCAGTCTGGTGCAGTAACCCACAGCACCACACCAGGTATTTGTTGTTGTTTTGTGTGCCATCGAGTCAATTCTGACCCATAGCAACACCGTATAGGGTTTCCAAGGATCAACTGGTGAGCTTGAACCGCCAACCTTGCGGTTCAAACCGACCCTGCAATCCAACACACTAACTCACAGCGTCAACACCAGGTATTGTTGTTAGTGTGAAGTGACATGGAGTCAATTTCAACCCATAGTGACCCTGTATAGGGTTTCCAAGGAGCAGCTGGTGAGCTTGAACCACCGACCTTGTAGTTCAAACAACTTTGCAATCTGACACCCACAGTGCCACAATTAGACATGCATTATTTCTATTGCAATATAGCCAGTAGCTCCTGAGATCTCCTGCCTCCCATATGCCCAGACAAAGTAACATAACTGATTCTCAGCAATAGAAAATAACTTCCTTAAGGTTTCACAGCAAGGATGTGTTGGCACTGAGATCCAAACCGAGGTCTTCCCACACATCTGCCTCCACAATGTCTGCTTCTGCTTTGCTGAGATACCATGAGTATGGCAGGTCCCCCAGTTGCATCCTAGGACCTTGTGGTTCCTGATTATGCCTTACCAATTCAAAGCAGAGAATTTGACCATCTTTTTCCTTGACCTACTCAGTTCCCTCTCCTTTTCCCCTAAGCAGCTCTGCAACATCTTCAAGAGTATCCTCAAGCTCCCGTCCCAGCCCCCACCCCACTCGCTCTGCATAGATCATGTCCACTCCAGCTTCACAGAGAAAAGAGGTTGCAAACGAGGCCTGCAGCCCATCTCCTACCTACCCTCTCATCTGCCTCCTCATTTTCACTCCTGGTGCAAAGGTGAAATATTTCTCGTATACCTAACTCTAGATCCCCACTTCATTTCTCCATCTAGTGTCTTAATATCACCTCTCTCTCTCCCAGAATTATCAAACTACCACTTTTAATGTTCTCTTTTCTTCTTACCTCACATCTTCCCAGTGCTAAGAGCCCTCCATTGATCTTGCATGCACCCTGCTGCCCCTGCCTAGATATTTCCCTTTCTTTCTCCACCCTCCTCAGTCAAGTTTCCCAAAAGAGAAGTCTATATTAATTAGCTCAACTTCCTCATTTCCCCTCTCTCACCCAAATACTCTAGGAACA